TTGTATTTTCTCCCCTCTCGGTCTCCCTCGCTGTCTCTTCCTCTTATTCTTTCTCTGTCTCTGGCAGTCTCTCTCTCTCTTCCACCTTTCTCTTTTGCTCTTTTGCTCTCTCAACCTCCTCCCCCCCCCCCCCGCTGTTTCTTTTCCACTTCCTTGGTGCTGTCACCTCCGCGGTTCGCTGCTCCTCTGTACTGTACCTTCCAACCGGGAAAATCAAGGGAATTTGAGATGGTAAGGTGGTGGGAAAGAGGGGGCGAGGAGTGTAGGATAGAGGAGGTGAAAGGAAACAAGAGAGGATAGCAGCCCACACCTAACTGCAGATTGGCCCTGCCCGGCAGAAGGGATGGAGACTTCTGCCACTCTGAGCCTCAAGACTGATATTTTTTTCCCTCTTTGCTGAGGTAAAACCAGGTGAAAAAGAATCCTCAGTCCTCAGGGACCTCACAGATGTCAGGCAAAATCAGGTGCTCGTAGGTACAGCGGCAGGTTAGAGGTCTCCTCTTACAAAACCACTGTCAGGGAGGGCAAAAACACTTTCCAGTCACAAAATAGGTGGTATTGAATTGAGAGGCTCAGACGCGAGTACCTTTTTGTCAAAGTGCCTTCAGAGATCGCACGGTGTGTGACGGTACATCTGTAGCTGGCTCGTTGGATGTGTTCTGGCTGGATTTTTATTTAATCTGCTGCAGGGCAACATGATTAAATGCACAGTGATATTCTGATATTACTATGATATAATGGCCTTTGTGGTGTTTATCATTGCACTGCTTACCTCCAAACCACTAAGGAGGTTGCTGAAAAGCTGGGACTCACATTATCTTTACACGGTAGGGTAGAAATGTGTATCAATACAACCTGGAAGCGATTCAGGTTCAACTTTCCTGTTGATGCTCTATTTGCATGTGTTTTCCAGAGTGCAAGCTGCAATTTCAGCATCTATTCAGCCTCTGAATTTCTGCTGGATAATCTTGTTTGCTTGAAACGACAAGCAGCAGCAGCAGCAGCAGCAGCTATTCAAGTCTTTTTTGAATCTATTGCATATCAACAATGCTGTGGATTCTCTGTCTCACATATGCTCCAGGACACATTAGCATACTTTAAGGAAAGTCAGGTTTCTCTCAACCAATTAGTGAACTGACCATTTATTTTAAATTCAAAGTTCCCCTTTGGGAACTGAAGCCAAAGTGAATCGACTATGCAGTAAAGGCTGTGACTTTTCAGTAACCTATAGGAGCTGAATCTCATTTCACTGTCTCTCTAAGTCTCTCTGAAGAAAAGTTTCTGCTCAACGCCTGAAATGGAAATGTGCTGTTTTTTTATTAAATACTAAACATCATATTTAATTTACAATAGCAGGGATAAGCTCATATTCGTATTATTAGAAAGCCAAATATGATAGCTGGGATATGCATAAAAAATCCCTAATTTCTAGCTTCTGTAAGATGCTTTCTAATGCTGTTTTTCATTATTTTCACTGCCCAGTGCATTTGATACATAACTTAAAGTCAACATATGACAGGAGGGATATTTTGTACTTTGACCAAATAAATCCTATAGTGGACCACTGAGGATTATGGGCCCATATCATCATGATGAATATAGTAGAATGGTTTTATGTTGTGCAAATGTGGCTGTGTGGTCAATGTAAATTTAAAGGCTTCTTGAGATTGCCTCCTACAACAGATTTTGAGGGGACTGCATATGAAAACCTTTGGAACTTTCCAGAACATACAATTTAAAGCTGTAGTGGGGGACTTTTACATTAAATGAACGTCTGTTACATTGAAGCCCTTGCCAAACAAGTTTACATAATGCTGATTAAGCCCATTATGGGTTAATCAGGTTAATCTCTCTGTATTTCCCTGTATACAGAGTTTTGAAATCTAGAGTCTGTCTCAGAGTGATCAGTTAGCTTGCCAACCCCTGGCGACCAGCCAAAAAGTCCATATTTCATAGATCACCTGTTGTACAGAATCAGAATTAAGGGATTCATTAATTAGTTTACTGACAGAACACTAATCAAATCTAAGAATTTGCTGCTTTTCTCTGTTTTGTATTGATGTATATTGAATAATTTTGGCTTTTGCACTACTGGTTGTGCAAAACAAGCAATATTAAGATGTTACAATGAGCTGTGAAAAAAAATTGCAATGGACATTTTTCCCTACCTTCTGACATTTTACGAGTTCAAATTAATTAAACATCTTTTGAATTTGGAAGTTTATTTTTGACCTTTAGGAGCAGTTATAAAAGAAATAAAGTTCCACTTATATCCGAGCGTCTAACCAACATCTCAAGGTCTTTATCAATCAAATCTCTCACTGAATGAGGACCGTTAAGCTTACATTATTTTGAGTGCAGACAATGAAAATAGTTCTTAGTTGAATGACAATAAATTGACTCGAATAGACATTTTTTATATTAAACACCTCACTAGGTGATATGAAGTCTCACTGATGCATTATCACGACTGGTATGTTCTTGTTACCTTAGAATGAGCCTTTTATATCAACAGGACCCGTGGGTGCTCTTTTACAAACCACAGTGTTGCTACTGTAGCCCAGAATGGACAAATCAATCACTGGCTATCCTTTGTGCTTGGTTGAGTCAGGGTTGCAATTTGCACCACACCTCTAGATGCCACTAAATGCTATACGCTGGTTCTTTAAGTAAGACTTTGACTGCAGAACTTTCACTTGTATCACAGTATTTGTACACTGTTATATTTTTAATTCAGCAAAATGAGTACTTCATCCACCACTGAGCAATACACAGTTTTAAAGTGGCTTGTTGTATCTTTCTGATACAAAAACTTGATAGCTTATTAGGCTACTGATAGAAAATGTAAGATGTGCTTGTGGCTGCTTAGTCACTGTAGTTACTACTTATCTCTTTTTTTGAACTGGTTTCTGCGGTGTGTAATTCTGTAGTCCGATTGCAGTTGATTAAGTGTTATTTCAGATGTTGTTGAGGTTTTCTTTCAGCCTGTGTTTGTGAGTGTGGGATGGTTTCATTGGGATACTTTGATGTGCTTTTTTCCCCAGATGCTTTTAAGGTAGATATTTCATTAAAAGACATCAAAGGTAAAACTCTCCCTTTCTCTCTCGCACTATCTCTACTTCGCACCAACACACTTTGCTTTTGTCTTCCTTGGTATTAAAAGTATTCTCAAGTATTTGTCCTCCGGTGTTTACTCTCAGCTTTTCTCCCCCATATTTTTCTTCTCTGCAAACCTCCCACTCTCGTGTTACACAAGAATGCAGCCGAAGACAGGGGACACATTTTAGCGAATTCTGCTCTTTATCTCATCTATCCCTCCCTGCGTCACCTCCTCTTGGCTCTTTGTTTCTCCCACCTCGCGGTCCCTGCACCTCTGTGATTTCCTCTCATATCAACAGAAATGTGTTTTGTCTTTAGTGCAGAATGCCTGATGTTTGTTCCCCGCAGTGAAGGTCTCTGCTTTGATTACTTTACTTGATTTTCTTTCCTTTTTTATCCAGAGTTTTTCTCTTTCTCCTTTCTCATTTGATTTATTCTCTCATTTGATTCCACTTTTTTCAGATATTTTTATAAGGGCACAAAGTGCTTTATGTCTTCACTGGTGCACTTTTTTAGAAACACTATATTTTTTAGATTTCATTAAAGGTATTATGGTTGTGTGTTGAAAAATTATTCTTTCATCCAATGTTTTTGACAGTGTTGTTTTGCAAGTTTCCAAAAACGCTGTTGCATCTTGTTTCGAATACTTTGTGCTTTTTGTAGACCTTTAGCAGTAGCAGCAGTCTGTCCTGTGGGTGGCGCTGGTGAAAACACATGAGGCCATTAAAATCCAAAGAGCTTATTGCCTTGGGAACACGAGTGTGCTCAGCAAATATGAGGACAATCAGCTAATTGAATTAGGAGATACTACATTTTTCATTTATTAAGTGACAAACCAGGTTCATCCTCAGGGGTACGGTGGCTTTTGTAGGACATATCAGATTGTCGGGCTCAGCTCTACTGTACAGAAATCAGATTTGGCATAACTTTAGCCTCAACTATATTTTTTCAAGCTTAGATCAGCATTAGCTTCTCCTAAAGCACTATAATCTTCAGCTATACTCGCGTCAGCCTCCGCTGTCAGCTGTCAGCTTTGAATTCTGTGCCTGCATTAAATTCTCTCAAGAGTTTATTGAATTAATCTGTAGCCTAAACACAATGCTGAAAGCAGGAAGATAACTGTTGGTTGTTCAAAATGAACAACATTGCAGCAATGGATTATATCGCTTTTGTCCAAAGTGAGTTACAACAAGAGCATTCAACCAAATGTATACAGCTGAACTCTCCAATTTGTTCAGAGTTCACTGAACTACTGTTCAATAGGTATGGCATTGGGCCCATTGACAGCTTTTTCCATCGGTAGGAGAAACAGTCAACCAACCAGAGCTTCGTAGGCAGGATGGATAAAGGTGACATCATCTTCCCCCATACTGTAGCTTGCTACGTTGCTGCATCCATAGCAACAGAAAAACGGTGATAAGTGTGAATGAGATCGACACTGCTGGAAGTTGTTGTCAGTCCACTCAGCCTATTTCTTTGATTGTTATGAAATCTGCTCAGAGCAACTGCTATTGCAGCTCTGTGGTGACTGAAGGTGATTGGAATTGATGTGTCACTCACGGTTGGGGAATAACAAAACAAAACAAATCCCCCTCTTGACAAGAACTCCCCTAACATGAATGTGACGTTAAGGTGAGTGAATGAAGTAAAATCAGAATTCAGTCTGAACACCAGGCAGACACAGCAGCTCTAGTCACATACAACCACATTTTATGAGAACATGTAATATCAGTTTTTCACATGTATTTTTCTTTTTTTTAATGCTTGAGTTTATTATTCAATTTAATTTGACACACTGAGATTTTTGACACACCGGATTTCCATTTCCCCTTACATAGACTCCATCATGTAGGGCAGTGAAACCACATCTCTTATTTTACATCTCCTGTCTCCTTTAACAGGTACTTCACCAACATATCTATTGGTGGACGGGACTATTCCTTCAACAGTGACGGTTACCTGTCCAAACCACTGCTTGATGTCATCTCCTACACCAATGGCAGAGGCTGGGAGGAGGTCAGTACACTGCTGTGCAAGCTGGCACAAATTATCATAGTGCAGCGGCTAGACTGGCTAACCGCAATTTCACACCCCATCAAACATGCTAACTCATGACTGCTCAGTTTCACCTTTCTGCTGTCTCACTGTCTCTGTGTCTCCCCCTCTCGCTCTCTCAGATCTAATTAGATCTCCCCTAAGCCCCGTCCCCTCCTCCTTCTCTCTTCTTCACCCTCTACTCTTCCGTTTGGGTTTGTCAGACTTGTTAGCCAGCACTAACTCACAGTCCGATATCCTTTCCGGCAGGGGCCATGTGTAGCAGTTATACAGTAATAGCACCAAATCCAAGATCTGCCCTCCGAGGGCACTTTCAATTCCTCAAGACTCCCTTCGTCCTAAGAAAAAAAACGCACGTAAACCTTTTTGTTCTATCCTGCTGTGTTCCATTTGCTTGTGACCTTTCATGACTCAATATGTTTACCGGTGAGTGCAGACTCAAGGCCCCTCTCATCTTAAGGATGATAACCAAACAGGAAAAATCGACCTTTGAAAAAAAAAAAAAAAAACATTGCTCTGACCGTGCAGCATCAGTGAGCCCTTGGATTTAAAAGTGTTTGTCGTTCTTCACCTTCCTGTCAAAGCTGAGCTTCCTCCTAAAGGTGCAGCGCTATACAGTATTTCAGTGTGGCTCTATAAGAGAAGGATGAAGAAATGATTCAGATTAGAGTGCATTAAGAAGGAATTAAGGAATAAGTAAACTCAATTTATGTCAAATGTGTCTCTAAGCAGGATTCCTGTGGGCTCTACACCTGCATAACAGGCTGAATTGCAACATATGCAATACAACCAAAAGTATGTTGATGCCACTGTTTACTGTATGTTCGCTCCTGGGCTGTTTTTCGTAGTTTGGGACAGTTCCAGTTGAGAGAAATCATACCACTACGTCATGCAATGATATTCAAGACAATAGTTTTCTGTTTCTTGTTTAAACATGACAGTGCCCCAATGCACAAAGTCGGTTCATCAAGAAATGGTTCTCCCAATTTGTTGTGGAAGAGCTTGACTAGCCTGCACAGAGCCCAGGCTTCAACCTCATCCAACACGTTTGGAATGAACTGGAACGCTGACTGTGAGCCAAACCTTATCACCCAACATCAGTGCTGGACCTCTCTAATGCTCTTGAGTGGGAGCAAAACCCTGCAGCCAGTTTCCAAAATCTTACGAAAAAGCCTTCCTAGAGGGGTATAGATATAGATTGAAGCTAATGGTTGTCATATAAGATGATCACAAATTAATGTAATGTTCTGTTCCATTTTGGTTAAAAACTAAAAACTTTGTAAATACAACAACCTTTTCTAAAGGGCGTATTACATGATCTCGTAAGTTCAAGTGCCTTAAAACAGCAGGGAACTAGTAAGAAACCATGGAGATTGCCAAAGTAACATAACAACACTTGATGTCAAATTGGTCAGTTTTAGATTCTCATTTTACCATTGCTTTGTTTCACATGGTGACTCTTTGATCTGAATTGGCCTCTAAATCCCCATTTTTCAGTTGTCAACATTTATGATAAAACACATTAGCTTGTCAATGCCACGTCATATTTCTCCTCTGGCCTGCATCTGAAAATGCTGAATAGTCATATTTGAGGGGGGCAGAATTTTCTACATCATGCATGCTACGATCTGAAATTGACCCCAATCTTGTTTTGCAGAAGATAACAAGCCTCAGAGCAAGATCCAGATCAGGGGAAATATAAAAATTACTGACGATACTTAGTTTAAAACTTGACAAATATGCAGCACTCATGAAAAATAAAAGCACTGCCTCTTATCTTTTGATTGCTGAACAAGGGGCATTTATTTTTGGAGAGTGTGAGCTATTTTATTCATGTTTTTAAGTCTTCTGTACCTTACTCTATCTTTCTGGTTTCTGAGTTCAACACATCTAGCCTGTATTTCTTCTGGCAGTTGTAAACCTTAAGAAAGTTGCTGTAGCACAAGTGGCAGCAAACTGGAGAACTACATCTGTGGGAAACATAGAACCGTTTTCTGCCCTTTGCTGATGTATCTCACCATTACTATATTGAATTTTTACTGAATGAAGACTGAGATACTGACAGAGGAGATAGGTTACTGTCTTGTACTCCACAGGTTTGTAAAAGATAGAAGGTAGAAAAATCGGCTATACAGCAGGGAGAAAAACTGACAGATAAGGGTTCACTTTGCACTGCTGCTCTCAAAAGATGACTCCTGTGCTGCTCTTTTATATCTGATGTTCAGGTGAGTCAAGAAGGAAATTATCAGGATAGCCATGTCATGTATCCAACAGGAAATCCCCCTTTAGGATTTTACAGTATTTATGATCCCACTCTGGAACCAAACTGTGTATCTGATCTGGTTCATAGATTGCTGAAGGGACAGAGCACACGCAAAGCTGCTAAAATCAATATTTGTATATAAACAATAGATCAAATGAAATGTGTGTAACATTAAAAGGTGTGGCTTATAGTTACAAACCCACAGAGAATTATCACCCGACCTGGTGGATTGACTCTGGACATAATGATAGCTTCTGCAGCATGTGTGTGTTGCGGTATGTCCCTGGCGTGAGTCGCTCATGGCGTTGGTGCTTCACTAGAGAGGAGGACAGATAGACATAAATAGACAGTGAAAGGGGTCTGTTCATAGTCATATCTACATTATACCAGCAACACATAAACCTTTCACCAAAGCTTCAACGTCTATATCTGAATGAATCTGAACACAACCCCTCCTGTATCTGCTTCAGATTGAAATCTCTCTAGCATTTCTGTGCCCAGAATCCATTCATTTTTTGTCAACGCTTTTATTGTACTGTATTTATCAAAGGCAAACTCAGTTTAAAAAGATAGGGCTGGCAGCAGCAGCACAGCATCAGAAACGTTCTCTGTGGGGATACCATGCGTGCTAAGCGCAGCAGTTCAGCAAGGCAGCTGCAATGCGCTGCTCACGCAGTGTGTCCAAACCGTGAGTGTATTTCAGCTCATTGTTTTGGTTGTCTCTCACCGCTGCACAGTTTACTCTCACTGCTTTTATCAATGTTGTTTTCAGACACAGCAAGAAACAGATTTCAGCAAATAAGCTCTAAAAACCCACTGTACTTAACTTGTGCAGCACTGAACGACAGACAGTCACAGAAACGCAAGTAGAAACAAGGGCTAACATGTTTGCCATATCAACCGAACAGGTCAGTGTTCTGTTTAAAAGCCTTTGGATGCAAAAAGAAGAATTTTTCTTCCATCATTTCCAGGCCAGGATTTTTAGATTTAATGGAGGAAGTCCATAATCCAGAATCTCTCAAAGTGAATGTTGTATGAGAGCTTTGATCTGAGGGCTAAGGGCCAAGCAAAGGACAAACAGTGTCGATACATCTCCCTCAGAGACCAGTACTTGACCCTAACCACCCAGTGGTTCTCTCCAACCTCATTTGTCTGAACATCCCCTTTTCCCAGGCGTATATTTGCTGAATTAACCTCTCCTGAACTGAATCATGGAGTCTATTTGCCGAGCACAGAAACCTCAGGGCAGCTGAACAAGTGCTAGCTGTAGAGCTCCGTGAGAGATCTGGGACTGTATTTACCAGGAGGCTCAGAGTCAGAAAATTCACAGAGAGATTAATATTCTGTCTAGCTTTTAGGCAAATAACATGTTTTGTGAACTTTTGTAATGTCTTCCAATCTCCACCAGGATTTGGGAGTAGCCTTCCTAACCTGCTGGAGTACCCAGCAGATGGTAAACAAATTATATACAGACCAAATAGAATGATTAACTTTCAAAGTAACTTTGGGTGTCCGGAAAAATATTAATTTATTGGCAACCAGGAAAAACATGAATTACATGACAACAATAACTTTCCTTCACCAAATCAGACTCAGAAATCAAAAACAAGTTTATTATCAAGTAGCTTTTCACACACCATTAAACCTAGTGAATTATTTGTCCATCACTAAACCTTATTTAATAAGAAAAAGATTTTTGTATAATTTATTGGATTTATTTAGTGTCATGAATATCTTGCATAATAGCACCGTCCCTAGAATTTTAAAATAATCCCTACTAAAGTATCCACATGGACTAAGTAATGTTCCTGCTAAATGTTCCATGCATGGGCAGGCCATTAGCACCACCTCAGCATTGGCCAAATCACTAGCTGAGCCACATTCACATTTCATCTTCCTGAATAACTCAAGAAACAGCACTGGATCACATTTGTGCTAAACATTTTTGAAAAAGAGAATAAAATGTACATTTTGTTGAAACATTTTCCAACTTTATACCGTTAGTCTTAACCTTTTATATAAGTAGCTTTCAAGTGATGTTTTCATAATTTTATGCCATTTTGTTATTATGTGTATATGCGCTTCACTGCAGATCATATCGGAAATGATGGGATTCTTTTGTTGGTTATTTTTTGTTGTTTTGCTGCCAACTGAGCCTTCTTTCAAACAACCTTTTGAACATCTCATGTGTGACATCTGTGAGTTTTATGAAGTTAGGTGTTATGTGATGCAACGATACAGCAAGTCATCTTACGTTTGTTTGTTCTTTGAGCCGAAGCGTAAACAGGGAATTACACAGTGGATCAATGAGCGAATAAGACAAGAAAGCCAGAGTACCTTTTTAATCATCATGACAGCAGAACTACAATCCTAAACCACACAAAGCTGAATCCCATTTCAGTTCAGTTTAAAGGCGCATTAAGAGTTTTACAACCTCACAACACAGAACAATCACAATATATCTTCAGTAAGAGTATTTTGCATGGCAATGTTTACCTTTTCTTTATACATTTCTGTTTGATCATTGTTCTGAAGGTAACCCAGCTTGGCAGACTGAGCATGGCTGCAGATTTAATCAGCTTTGATTCAAAAAGATCCATATTTTAACAGTTTATTTGTAAAATATCCAACAAAATATCATCTAGACCAAGTAGGTGGCAATAAGAAGATTGATGATAGAGCATGATAATGGTTACAA